CATCCCTAGCCATTCGGCGAGGCGCGCACCGAGCCTCAGTCCGCGTGCCTGTAGCAGCCACGGTCGACTCCAAAAAAAATCCCCGGCATTTCGAGAAAGAAACCTGAGTTTCCTTTGCCGTGTTCGGGTCCGTCTCGGAAACTTCCCAAGACGCAGTCAGGGTCACCAGTGTAGTGCCGAGAGAAAGGGAGTCGGAGGCGGTGCATCGAAGGTGCAAAACTGTCCTTTAATGAGCAGCAGAAATGCAGGTGTTGTCGGGTCGCAGCCCGGGACAACAAGAGAAAGAGCCAGGAGGGCACACAACATATAAAGGTAACCACATATGTCCGTGTGGAAACAATACCCCCAAACTCTAGTTCCATGTGTGGATTATGTAACCCAGTGTATTAAAGGTGGTCACCACAATATCCATTTTGGAGTTCAAGCTAGTGTTCTTTATTTTGATTAAACAGACGTTAAGCTTCCCAATGGTGTGGTCTTCGTTTTGTGAAAAATATGATTACCTCACATATGTTGTTGCTGTTGTTGTCTTTTGTGATAGTTAAATTGCTCCTGCTGACTTGAGCCAGCCATTCTTTCCTCCTCTCTGTGTCAGTGGGGAAACTTTGCATGTGTACTCCTTTCTCTGAGCGCTTGGAGCATCCCCCGGCAGCACAGCAAACCATGGGGGAGACTATATGCCAGGACAACACAGAGGAAAAGGCACAGACAAACTGCATGATATGCTATTCAATGTTTATTGAATTCCATTTATTTACATGGATGTTCCTAAAACAACACATTTAACATCATCATCATCATCATCTGCTGCTGCTGCTGCTGCTATGCTTTGACTCATTGTGCTGTCAGTTGACAATCATTGATAGGCACCTGTGGGTCTCCTGTCCTTTCTGAAAGTCATAAAGATTACATTAGTACTTTAGATTACTTGTGTCCTCAATTACCAGGGGATTACTGAAACCACCATGAATGAAATAAATGGTAGAAATTAATCTAATCTGAATTTTGAAACCTTCCTCCCCTCCCTCTAAATATATCAATAAACATTAGGATGTGATGCTCCTGACTACCATACAGGTTTAGAGAAGATAATATTTGTGTTAAAGGAATTCAAAGCAATAAACAACAGCAACAGGGTCTTTAACCATGTATATGTTACCAGGTAGATAGCTGTTCACACTATGTATATTTTCTACTTTCTAACGTTGTAATGCTATGTTATTTCTATTTAAGATGTTTACATTTTTGATTGTTTAATTCTAGTCTTTTAACTGTCTAATGTACAATGCCTCCTTGTGCTGCTGCAGCGTAAACATTTCCCCAATTGGTATCAATAAGTACTTCTTATTTTATCTTAATCCTCAAATATTAGCACATTTTACTTAAAAAAAAACAAACACATTGATGTAACTACATACACATATCGATATGTTGTATACATATTGCAAATCAAAACCTTTATTGACCACTAATTACCAAACATTTCATTTATATCCTGTTATTAATGCATTCAAATCGTGATTCAAATGGCCCCGCCACGAACTTCCGGGAACTTTCTCAGTCCTCCTCTGAACCACGTGATGATCAGCATTTGGACTTTCCGCTGTCCGCAAACTCTTCTCTCTATGGCGCTGGACCCAGCCAATCAGAATTGACCTTCTCGAGTTCTCCGATTGGTTGTTTTGTGGCACATTTGTAACGCTGTGACAACTTGATGCGAGCGCAGGCAAAGCTGAGCGCGCACAGGGTGGAGAGGTCGAGCGAGCGAGGGAGAGAGAGCGCGTGCAGCGGTCTGCTTAGCGCACGGAGCAGGAGTTTTATGAGAGAAAATATATTTCTCTGTGCTCCAAAAATGTTCAAGTGCGCGCTCAATCAGCATTTTCTATGCTCAAACATTTTTCATTGGGTGCTCAGGATAGAGGCACAAATATAGACGCCATAAGCAGGCAGAGTCTCTGTAGCTTCACGGAGCAGGTAGCAGAGAGACAAGAAGCTAGCAGCAGCAGTCACTTGACAGAGCTGTCACTCAATATGACCACGCCTAATTTATTGCAAACCTTTAAGACTAATATAAATAAAAGGGTCGGTTTAGAAAACAATTCACTCACAGATTCATAATCATGAAGGTGGAATCTAACTATATGCATAATAATATTTATTGCAGCTGTAATAGATGTTTTTGTAACATTGACAGTATTTTTAACTGTTTACCTTTTGACCTTTGTTAATGTAGTTTAATTGTAGGATGTTTGGAAAGGATGAAAAGGTATTCTGTCTGCGCTTGTTTGGTATTTGTTTTGGAGACGTGTGATCTGTTAAACACTGTGATCGACTAGATGGCCTTGATCTGGGAGACGAGAGATCGATTGCTCTGTCTCCGCCCACATATCTGGGGGGTTTCGCGGTACTTTCCTCACGCGAGTAAAGTACCGGAGAATGAAACCTAACTTTGCCTCTTGTCAAATTCTTCCCTTTTATCAGGTATGTAGATAGTACAAAAACATAGCAATTGGGCCAAACTATACATAACATGTGTAAGGAGTGTTTTTAAAGCGGTTTGTGTGAAATAGTGAGCGTGTTATGATTACGTTTTATCAGCTTGGGCTGATTGTGTGTGATAGCTGAGAATGTGTGTAGTAACGTCTACATGGTTACATGAACAAACACTGCGTAGCGCGCATTTGCCGCCATCTTGTGTATTGTGTATGCACACAGTTATATGTAATATGTTGTAAATTATATAATCTTATCAATGATATTGTTGTAATTAAGAAGTTTCATGATTGAAATACAGTGTTAATAGCCAAGTTGTATGTGCTATTGAAAGGTGTTGCATTTGTTGACTCACTCGAGTAAAGTACCGGAGAATGAAACCTAACTTTGACTCTTGTCAAAATTCTTCCCTTTTATCAGGGGCGTAACACAGCCAGGGGTAGAAACATGTTTTTTTCTGCTGTAAAATTGGGCATTTTAACATGGGGTTCTATGGAAATTGCTCCTTTCTGCAGCCATCACCTATCGGCCAATATATGAACTGCAGTGTGTGGCACTTCCGTATTGGCGTCCCGGCTATTCCCCAGAGTTTGCCGCTTGGTTAAACGGGTTAAACCATGGGTTGGTTAAACCCAGCGCCATATAGATAGAAGAGTTGCGACAGAGGAAGTCCAAAATGCTTGATCATCGTCACGTGGTTCAGGGAGACTCAATAGTTCCCCGGAAGTTCGTGGCGGGACATTTGAATCACGATTTGAATGCATTAATACGTTCTTATTATACATCCATGATTAATACCAGGATAGAAATGCAATTGTTGGTAATTAGTGGTCAATAAAGGTTTTGATTTGCAATATTTATACAACATATCGATATGTGTATGAAGTTACATCAATGTTTTTGTAAAATGTGCTAATATTTGAGGATTAAGATAAAAGAAGTACTTTATTGATACCAATTGGGGAAATGTTTACGCTGCAGCAGCAAAAGACAAGGCATTGTACATTAGACAGTTAAAAGACTAGAATTAAACAATCGAAAATGTAAACATCTTAAATAGAATTAAAATAGCATTACAAAAAGTAGAAAATAGACAGTGTGAACAGCCATATTTGATGTTGTTGCAGAAAAGAGAACGGCAGGTAGCCTGCAGCAGCACAAATGCTGTTTTGGATTTCCATTCAATGTAGGCAGAATAATGAATATATTAATAATTGATGGAAAGTCGTTTTTATTAGGGCCGGGACTTTAACGCGTTAATTAAGATTAATTAATTACACAAAAATTAACGCATTTTAATCGCACTTATTTTTGCACCGCGGAACGTTTCTCACTGGATGAGTTTCAGGCGTACCGATTATACTGGAGCACCAACTAACGTTCATGACTTCAGACAACAACAAACCACAGTGAACAACAGTGGGAAATGTTGTTTTAAAAAACGGACGGATGGGAGCGTCGATAAGAGCAGGGTTGTGTGCAAATTATGCAAAAAGGAATTCGCATATCACCGCAGCACATCAAGCCTCAAGTATCACCTCAATGTAAAACATATAGCAGCTAGCGTGGAAGCTAGCGTGGACGTTAGCCTCTTTTATCGCGTTCACACCAAAAAGAGCCGGTACTAAAATTAGTTCATGAGAACCTTTTTACCCCACGAAAGTCCCTGCTAGAGAGCAGAGAGCTGCTAGAGAGCAGGGACTTTCGTACGGCTCTCTTGTGAGAAAGAGCTATAGTCTGATTGGCCTGGGCGGATTGCAAACCACGCCCCGTAAAACTCCCAAAAAGTGTTGTGAATTGTATTATCCTCGCATTAGCATTATTAGCATTAGCCCAGCGCAGAAACGCAGAGAGACTAACTTATGGCAACACAAAATAAAACATGGGAGCGGTGGAGATGAGGAGGTGTCGGCGTTCTGGCGATTTACTCGGAAGGCTTCAGTAGAAGCTGCTGGGACTCCCAGCAGCTTCTACTGAAGCCAGTTCCCCAACTCCGGGGACTTCCGGCCGGGGACTTTGGGCGGCAGTATACGCCGTGAAGTGGTTTGCGGCCTGCCAGTAAACCCAAAGCAGAAGAAGTGACGTCAGCGGCTTCATTGCCTAATCCACCCCCAGGTTCAAAGAGTTCTCATGAACCTTTGTGGGAAAAGTACTGCGGTGTGAATGCGCCTAATGGTATACTAAAAATCCATGTGAAAAAAATTGCTTCTCACTGTTCTCAGGTCAAATATTTATATGTGATTAAAAATGCGATTAATTTCGATTAATTACAAAGCCTCTAATTAATTAGATTAATTTTTTTAATCGAGTCCCGGCCCTAGTTTTTATGTTTGAGCATCACTGTGCATATTTTTACACTTGAAGGCCATTTTCACTTTCATCTGCTGAAGTTTTCTCTCTTTTATCTCAGTTTAACATGTATCAGCAGGTTGTTCACTCAAGCAGAACAATGTATGTCTTCAAATAAACAGTTAATTAAACGAAAGGTGTGCAAGAAACAAAAAGACAACAGTTAAATCCATCTTTATTTGAGCTCTGATTTGGGTTATTATTTACATAATTGTACTCTTTGTTTTGAGTTGTGGTTGGTGCATTTTAGTCCCGCAGCTGCGTATATGGCAAAATCCACTGAGAATAAGAAATACAAATAAAAATAGAAAAAGCTGATGGCCGACTGCAGTGCCTGCCCTGGAGGGTGAAAGGTTGGGAGCTTGTTAAGTGACAGTGTACACACAGTATTCTACCTGTACAATAATAGTGCTACTATTCACAATCATCTGTACAATAATCATATTTACAGTGATCACATTAGGGAAAGAGCCAGTACCTGAGGAGTTAGTTCCAGAATTAGCTTTTCTCATTCATAAAATGAAGTGCACCCAACCAGTGGTATCCTAACAACACAGCAAACATCGGACCCAGGATCAGGTGTAAAGCTTTGAAAGCAGCTTGCAATTTTAGGTGATGCAACTTGAGTTTAGTTGATCAAAACAATCAGTGGGCTGAGGAAATGTGACCTTGTGCAGGCTGGTTTCACTCCATAGCAACAGCATCAATACTAGAGTAGAGGTCTTTTAATGTTCAGTCACAGAACCAAACCTCTACATAAATGTGAAACAATTTTCCAATCGTTTGTTTAACTTTTGCTGAGGAAGTTAGCAGAGAGCAGACTAGATTCCAAGTAGATGATGGTGGTTTATGCGGGCCCAGTATGAGTCACTAGCTGTAGTAGTGGGAGTTTATAGACGGTAGTGGTAGTTCCTTCGAAAGAAACACTCCTCGTAGATACTTCAGGTGAGCTGGCACGCTTTAACAAAAGACAGGAACCTATAAACAAGTGAGGTCATTCAAATTCTTGTGCCAGCACCTTTCGTCTTCCCCTATGATTCTCTCCAAAAACACACAAACTATACATGAAAACATATTGGCCAATTCAAATTACCGTTCGACAGCACATAAGATAAAACACCATGAATAACACACCATACATGTGCAGCATTTCTCCCAAGAATGAAACGTCAACCAATAAATAAGAACAGGATAAAAAATGCATTAAATAACAATCATTGTCTCAGTTGAGGATCACTGTGCAAGTGATCCAGTTAAAACATAAACAGTCAAAAGTCAATTTTAAATATCTGAAATGTTAGGCTCCTGTTAGTCCTCTGACAAATGTGGGGATCATCGTTTCCGTCTGCTTTGAGCCTGTCGTACGTCATGCCAATTACCAAACTAATCTGTAACTCAAACCAAACACTTTTCTCTTTGGACCCTTGCCATTGATCGCCCTTTCAACACAAAATCGTATCATAAAGGGAAAACTCTGCGTGTCTTTTCCATATATTTGATCACATCTGCTTGATCTCACTGTGTAGTGAAGTGCTGCAGACCCGCAGTGAAACAACAAGCAGTCATTCATGAAGGAGCTTTGGATTTGGTACTTTCCAGCAGCGTTGTGTCATCGGTATATTTAAGCGGTCCGGTGTGGGGACGGATGGGTCAAGCCTTGTAGCAGTTGCCCTGCGTGGTGAGGGCCAGCTGGCCGTTGGGCACCACCCTCGTTGGCCTCGTCTTCCAGTAAGCCGGACACGTCAGCGTTGGGGATGCTGTCGTGGTAGCTGCTGAAGCTGATGTTGTCCTCTTTCAGTTCAATGGTCCAGAATGGGGCATTGAGCTTGCGGTTCTGGTACTCGCGGTAGGTGTACACGCCTCCGACGAAGCCCAGCAGCACCAGCACCACCAGAATGATGACAGCCAGGATGATGATGTTGAACTGCGTCCAGGACACGTCTGTCAGGGCGGCGGTGGTGTTGTCGGTGGGGGGACTCAGGCTGGTCAGCAGCGCCTGGGTGGAGGCGGTGCTCAGCGCCGTGCTGCTGTTGCTGCCTGATGTGGACGCTGGGACGCCTTTTGATTGGGCCGAGGTCAAAGTGATGCTGGTGGTGGTTGTGGAGGGGGAAGATGGACTGGATGTAGGGGCCTCTGTTGTGGCTTTATGTGCCGGTGTGGGGAGGAGCCGGGGGGCTGAGGAGAGGAAAACATTAGTGAACGTTTAAAGACTGGACTTCACAGCTTTGTTACATTTACAATGTAACAAAGCAATGTCTGATGTAATGAAGATCTGTTATTAATGAAGAGAAATCTGAATGCTTTTCAGACTCAAGGTTGTTGATAAGTAACTAGTGACACCGTGTGGCGAAAACAAATAACTACCTCTTAGTGGAGATATTCCTGATGCCTTCTTTTATTATTTTTCCATGAAATACATTTAAACCCTGGAAGCTAACGGCAGACTTTGTGGGACTTCATCCTGACATGAATTTATTGTTAACAAAGAAGACTGCTTGTTCTTTGGTGCTGAATTTCTGACTCAGTAATCTAGTCAGAAATATGGTATTAGTTTTGTGTCATAAAGATAAAGCAACACTTTCTCAGAAGAGAAAAAATCAAATAAAACTATAATATAAATTGCAAACAAATCATTTGTGTAATCATGTAAACTATAAGTCTTTTTTCTTTGTTTTAACACATCTTTGTGTTTGCAGTTCTCTTTGCTTCTTTCTCAATGATCAGACTTTTGCTCTCGCTGCAGCTCTTCTCGTTTGCGCTCCCTCATTTTTTGTTTTTTCAATTCTGACCTATATACAGTCTATGATTCTGACACAAACGTCCCAGGGGGCGGGACTATCAGGGGTGCGTCTCCATTGGCTACTCAGTTTGAGTGACAGCCCACTACAGACTCCGGAGTCCACTCGGCCACGTTAGTGTTGGTGTCTCCTGTGGAGTTTTCATGAACATATCGGACTTCTCTTATGGATTGCAGTGCATTATACTTGTGATGTGTATTTCATACTTTATTTCAACTTTAAATATTTTAATACCTGAACACACTGCTGCTGTAAAATAATTTCCCAACTTGGGATTGATAAAGTGTCTATTTATTTATTTGATAGATAAAATAAACACGTCTATGTATTTTCAAGCTAAAGGTGATACACAATATAAACTGTATACTAGGGCTGAACGATATACCGTGTCATGGCGATAACCGCGGTATGCGCATGCGCGATATTCACACCGCAGGGACGTGCGGTTTTATTCATTTAAAAAAAAAATGCTAACGCACTTTAGCACAGAATTCAAAATAAAGATACCCTTATTACTTATCGAAACTGCACATACAATATATCCGATTAAAGCTGAGACTCCACAGATTATTTAAGTATAGCATCTAAGCGATCTGATCTCGCAACAGGGGAAGCAAACACAGACATCACAACACGTACCTTTTACGGAGCTTTTACGGGAGATCGTCTCACCGTAGCTGTCAATCTGATCAAAAGACGTGTTCAATGGCATTAAAACGAAAAAAACGCGGCTGAATCGGTTAATCCATAGGTTGATAATGTATCTGTGGCTTTGAAGCAATTGTTTATAATCCATAATTCCATTTTTATGTAAAAATCGGAGCACAAAAGTTAGCTGCTAATGGTAGCCACCAGAGTGTGTATGCAGCTTCCGGTTTTGGCTACGCGTCGTCACTCTCACTCCTTATTTGTTCATGTGTTGGTGTGTGTAGAACTTCCCCTGCATGCACAGCAAACCACCAATCACAATCATCCTTGATCAGATCACAGCAGGCCCCGCCCCGCTAGTTTGCAGACCATCTGGTAAAAAATGAGCGAGGCACAGGAGGACAATACCGGAGAGAATGAAGATTTACTTCCAAGAAGAAAAGCAACATCTGCCATCTGGAACTATTTTGGCCTATGGAAAAAACCTATGGATTAACCGATTCAGCCGCGTTTTTTCTTTCTCGTTTTAATGCCATTGATCACGTCTTTTGATCAGATTGACAGCTACGGTGAGACATCTCCCCTCGAAGCTACGTAAAGGTACGTGTTGTGATGTCTGTGTTTGCTTCCCCTGTCCGAGTTCAGATCACTCAGTGATGATACTATATACCTAAATAATCTGTGGAACCTCAGCTTTAATCGGATATCTTGTAAGTGCAGCTACGATAAGTAATAAGGGTACTTTTATCTTGAGTTCTGTGCCAAAGTGCGTTAGCATTTTGCGCTCAGGGGTCATTTAGATGCTTCTTATGAGACTTGTGTTTTGTTTTGGTATAAAATGGTTTGTATCGTCAGTTAGCTGAGATTATTTCCGTTAATCTGGTATAACACATTAATAGGTTCTTAAATATTACGATCCCCTGAGACACTGTCGTGAAAAAAAAAGTAAAGTACCCGCCGGGACTTTGGGGCTTAACAGGTTAAAAAACCGCAATATATACCGCAGGGGGGGGGGGGAAATCGCGATGTCAGTTTTTTTTCAATACCGTGCAGCCCTACTGTTACTGTTATCTTTTCAAAGACATGTTACATTCCAAAAGCATATATTGCTATGTTTAGGACAAAACAATTAAAGACTGCTTTAATTGAACAAATTCTACAATATGAAAGTGGCAGATTGCTTTCTGAAACAGAGCAGACCTAGGGCTGCATGTCAACACAATTAGGACCCTGCTCACATCTTACTATGTTGGTCTGAAGAGCTGAAGCATTCATGCACAATGGATACAAACTGTGTTGTCTCATCTATATAGAATAGAATCATTTAATGTCATTATACATGTACAATGAGAGAAACAAATGCTTCTCCCTTTCAAAAGTTGCCATCAAAACAAAAAACATCACAACAATAATACAACAAATACACGCAGCATACATACTTAGGAATAAGGAATAAAGTGCAGTAATTATTTCCAGGGGTATAAAAAATGTAATGTAATAAATAATAATAGTAGGTATGTACTGTATTTATAATAATAATTATATATATATATGTATTTATAATAATAATGATTATATATATATAATATCATGTATGTATATATATATATATACAACCAGTCACATTTTTTCACACTTTCAGGGTGTTAAGAGCAATAATGGCTCTTGGGAAAAAACTGTCCTTTGAGTCTGTTTGTTTTTGGATTTTATAAACCTGTAGCGCCTCCGTAGAATTCTAGAAAGGACAATATTTAAAAAAAGCGATTTAAAAAAGAATGAATACAAGAATGTACACCAAATTTAAATATACAAAAGAAACCAAAAAACTAAAACAAACTTAGTACACTGAATATATGATAATATTTGACAAACTGCAGTGTATTATATTATCATTAAAGTGGCAGGCTGTGCAGAAATGTGCAAACTATATTCAGAGAGATGAACATGGCTCAAAGTACAGCTGTGTGCAATTATTAGGAAATGTCTCTTTAACTAAGTGATTTATAAGCTGTGACAAAGATGAACTCCACTACTGTTTTATAACTGACAGTAATAGTAGTATATATAGAGAGCAGTAAGTAGAGATCCTTATTGAGGGTGTTGTGGCGGCTCTTACCTGGACGGGTGCAGTTGTGTGCTCCAGCGTCCCCGATGAAGCCCTCGGGCACAGAGCTTGGCACCGGGCCCCGCCTGTGTGGTTGATGCAGCGCAGGCATTGGCCGGTGTCGGGGTGACAGGGGTGGGGTCCTTAGGGTCTGCATTGCCACTGCAGTCACATGGAACACACAGCCCAGCAGCTTTGAAGAAGCCGGCTGAACACTGGTCACACAGCGGGCCGCTGTACCGGGGGAGGCACAGCTCACACACTGGGGGGCTGCTGCCATCTGCACAGGGACACACAGAGACACACAGGACACACAGGGACACACAGGGACAGGGACACACAGGGACACACAGGGACACACAGAGACACACAGGGACACACAGGGACACACAGGGACACACAGGGACAGGGACACACAGGGACACACAGGGACACACAGGGACACACAGAGACACACAGAGACACACAGGGACACACAGGGACAGGGACACACAGGGACACAGAGACACACAGGGACACACACACAGGGACACACATGGACACACAGGGACACACAGGGACACACAGGGACACACAGGGACACACAGAGACACACAGGGACACACAGAGACACACAGGGACACACAGGGACACACAGGGACAGGGACACACAGGGACACACAGGGACAGGGGACAGACAGGGACACACAGGGACACACATGGACAGGGACACACAGGGACAGGGACACACAGGGACACACACACACAGGGACACACAGGGACACACAGAGACACACAGAGACACACATCAGTGCCACTAATGATGTCGCTACAACAGAGGCTAAATAAGTGTTTTCAGCCTCGACACCAGCATGGGCTGCAGTTATTAAAGAGTATAATGTTGTGGAAAAACCGTTTGATTTGAATCATAACATATATCATGCCGTCATAACATCTGATTCTTAAACATGATTGAGTGACCAAAGTAATTCAAATAGCAATATATATATATATATATATATATATATTATAGAGAGAGAGAAAAGGAGAGATACATATGTAGAGTCTGTAACCATAACTGTACAACTTTGTTCAAAAAAGGATTTGACTGACGATCTGTGAGATGCTTATTTACACAAGATTATTACATTTCATTTGTTCAATATAGGTTAATAACAATGCCGACTCATTACTACACCCAGACTCAGTTGTACACCCTTTTTTCTTATTATTCATCAACATGTATGAGCCTCAACCGGTTAATATCACAAACATGTCTGTGGAATAATTTATTTGATTAACCTTTTTGTCAAATGTATTTGAAATGTCCAATGCGTATGCTTGTCTCTTCAATGCGTCCATCCCAAATGAAAGAGCTCGCGCTGCACCACTAGGTGTCTCCAGATGACAGGATATTGATCTGGGACGGCGGAGTGGGTTATTCTGATCTACTTAAATCATATAATGGAACATTATATGAGACAGAAAGGTAGTTCAGAAGGAGGGAGGGCATTGCTTTGGCATTGTGGAGGGTGAGATTTAGCTTTTCCGTTGTGTTATCAATAATGAAGCAGATTTGGTTAGTTTCGAGCTGTGGAATATGAAATCACTCATCTTTCCTCACTACATTCTAGCTTTTCTTACCCCCAGATTTGCATTAACTACAGGTTATTCATTTATTTTAAAAATATAAAATCACTGTTACTTTTTCTAATACATGGAATTAGTACTTAAGGCTCAGAAAGGTTTCACGAGTAGCACCAAACACCACAGATAATAACATCTGTAAGTAAAGGGGAGTTTTTAAATGCTCAGATGGAGTTGGAATTGATCCAAATTCATTATGATCTTACCATAAAGACAATTATTGATTTAAGATGCAGCTCCTCTGATTTTGAACTAAATATTGGTACACCTGAAGCATCTATAAATGATATGTTTAAGTACAGTAGTATGAAGGCCTCCATCCAGAGTAGCCCAGATGTCCCCAGTCATGCCATCCAGCTCCTCCTGGGATCTCACGGTGTTCCAGGCAGATGGGAAATGCAACCCCCCCAGTCTGAGGCCTGCCCTGGGGTCCTCTGCACAGGGCCATACGCATAATATGAGGGTGTTCAGGAAGTCGGAACTAGATCAACTCCTTAATACAAAGAAGCAGTGAATGGATGATGTTGAGGGTTAAAGCACATGGTAAGGTCTCTGCTTGGAAAGGGTTTTCCAGTCAAGCAGCAAGACCTTTATAGGTCTTTATGATAGGGACACCAACCTCACTGGCGTCCTCCCGGAGCCATGTCTGGAGAGGAGCTGGGCCGGGGTTATCCCTCAATGAAAAGGTGGGCTGCCTCAGGATTGTCTAACCCACCACCAAAAACAACAATGAAGACTGAACCATGGCTAAGGAAAGTTAAATGATTCTGATATGTAAAAACTGATATACATATAAACACTATCCTCCTATGCAGCCCTGCAGACCAGCCGGTGCTCTTCATCAGACGCCCGTCCTCACCACACTGCAGCTCTCAGTGTTGAATGATTTAGACACAGATAACCGCCTTTCAATGGCCTAGATGTTGGACTCTAGTGGGGTCACGTGATTACGTTGTACTCCAGCCCTGTGCAGGCTGCTCCTGATAAGCTTGATTTAACCTCTGCTGAGGTTCAAAGGCAGCGGCCTGCTGGGTTATATAACCAGGAGGAAACATGAGCTGCTCTCAGACCTGCTGCTGTCCCATGCTCCTCCTCTCTGCTGCCACACACTGACTGACTCACACAAGAAGTGGAACAATTAAAGATTGAAAGACAAATTAAATGAACACAAATATTTGATCAACCGCAGGCTAAACCAGATGAGCCCAGCCATTCCGGAATCACTGAGTAAAGATGTAATCATACATGGATGATTGCATATGTCTGACCCACATTCTGAATGCTCCATTTCACCTCTCCGTGTGTCAGTGTGGAGGCTTGTTCATGTACTGCAACAGGCCTCATCAGCACATTAAGACATTTTATTTTATTTAACCAGATAAAAAGCATTGAGATAAAATCTCATTTACAATGCTGACCTGGCCAAGAAGGCAGCAACGTCACACACATAACACAGACGTGTCAAACACAGAGAACACAAGTCAACCGAAGAGGAAAAGCAGTCCCTACATTGAGCCCATTAGGACAGTCAGTAAGGTGCTACTTATTACTGCAAGAGCAGCTGGTGGGAAGGACCTCAGACAACTTCCATTTAAAACAGGCTATAGGGACAAGTGCCCTCAGTTTGAGGCGTGATTGAAGGTCATTCCAAGACCAAGGACCATAATCCTTTTTCCAGCCTCAGTCCGCACAGCAGGAACCTGGACCCGTATCCAGGCACTGGGTCTGAGGTTGTGAGAGTCACAAACTGGAGCAAATCTGGCACATATGCAGAGTGGAAGCTTTCCTAAAATGCCTTTATACATGAATAAAAACCAATGCTGCATACGCATACTAAGTGAGGACCATCCAGTTAGGCTATACACTTTGCAATGATGAGTCCTATAGGGTGCATCTGATATATAACGCAGTGCAGCGTGGTAGAGTGGGTCAAGTTTGGCCAAACAGTGGGACAGGCACATCTATAGATGGTACCACTGTAGTCCAGCTGGGACAGGAATGAGCCAGAGACCAACCTTTTACGGGATGAAGTTGAAAAACACATTTAAGTCTGAAATGAAGCCAAGAGTGAATTTCAATTTCTTTGTTAGAAACTTCAATGTGATGTTTAAAGTTCAGATTACTGTCCAACCAAAAGCCAAGATATTTGTAGGTATCGACAAACTCAACAGAGACGCCATCAAGGGTGTCAATGGAGAGGCAAGAGGACGCTGACTTGGGAGCTAAAAGCATTGCTTTGGTTTTCTTACTGTTCAAAAGCAGTTTGGAAAGCAACTATCCTCCCCTGAGACATGGTACTGCATTGTGGCATCATCCCATTTGTCACCGTTGCCAGGGCAACATCTACTCGGATGTTTGGTCTGAACATCCTCTGCGGCCACACACAGAGAGCAGCTCTCGTACTGAGCACACGTGACCATGTCCTCTGTGGCGCAGCTCTTCCACCGTTGTGTCTGTCCAACAGACTGTGGTGCTGCCCCTCCCCCTCTGTTGCTGCCTGGCTAGCGCTATGAAATGGGCCAGCTGTGCTCGTGCTGTCCCCAGCTCAGCTCAGGTCTGGTTTGTGTCTCTTCCCCTCCCTCCCACGTTGCACAACCTCCTCCGCGGGCCCCTGGTATGGGCAAACAGAACCTGACAGTGTAAGTGCATCTATACGTGTTGCCACGCAGACTACTACCAATGAATCGTCCAGGACATGGCAGCACCGTCAGCGATTGGTCAAGAAATGGGAATGGCCAAGGTGTGATGACATGATGAAGAATAACTGAGTGAATGCAGTGATGCAATGCTGAATGAAAGTCTCAAATGTCCGTTTGGAGAGCGGGTACAAGAGCAGCCTGATGGGGATCATTTGTGAACTGGCGTACACGGCTAACATGGCTTACTGTTATACTTTGAAGGACTCTGAATTGGAGGTTAAGTTATACAATATCCATTTGGTGTCCAGCCTGCTAGCAAAACAGAATGAAAAGGTCTAGTGCTGAAACAATGAATCCGTTAAGCAACTCGTCAATCAACAGAAATGTCATTTTCAAACTCATTTGTTAATCAAAAAATGTCAAACATTGAATATGTAAAAAGCTTTCTAAATCTGAGTATTTGCTGCTTTCTCCTTTTTATACCATCGCAAATGTAACATCATTGGGTTTTTTGACAGTTTGACTGGTAATCTGATGACATCACTTTGTCACATTCATCTAGAAAATATTCCCGGAATGAATGGATAGTAAAAAATGGTTGTCAGTTGCAGCTTTAGGTACGAATATCTTAAGGTTTGTGTCACAACATTCATTCTGATGAATTGAGCTCTTAAACAAATTCATGGGAATATGTATTTTATATTTTATAGACTTGTCCATTATCTCTAATACCAAAAAAAAGTTGAAGGAATGATTATGAAAATAGCGTGGCCCATTTTAAACAGAAGTAATCAGAAATGTTAATGAACTGAACTGGGTTACTCTATAGTTCTGCCGCTGACATGAACAGGTTACCTGATAACTAGGTTATCTTTGACTGTTGTGTAGATCTGAACTGAGAAGTGGGAGGAACAATACACCAGTTTAAAGAAATAACTGGTGAGACTTCCTGACACCTGTTCAGTAAGTAAGTTGTTTCCAGATGGGCTCTTCACACACAGCTGGTGGAAGTGGAGGCAGCATCGGGGCCCAAAACACAGAGATTACAAGTGAAAAACAAGGCACTGGCTGCAGGGCTCCGGCTCACACCCAGCTCCT